TCCTGTCCTCCATGATGTAGTGCATGCCAAGTTCCAGCTTGATTTGCTGCATCGCTTGGTAGAGGGGGTCGTAGTTCTCGCTCAAGCTAGCCACACTGGCTCCTGCATTTTTTTTCTGCTGTAGCGGTGACAAGGCAGCAGCCACCCCAGCCATTTGGTCATCGAAGAGTGCCCGGATCTCCGCAAGGGACTTGTACGTCTTGGCCTCTCGGCCCATCTTCCTCAAATGTTGACCAATCTAGAGGTCTCTCTCTTTAGGCTATAGGGGTCGTCAGATGTTTTGAGAATGCCAGCATGCACAACAAACCAAGAAATCAAACGAATCAAGCGACTCTTTCTGGAGCACATGGAGTGCCATGCGAATGCAGCACTTGCCGAAGGTGCGGACCGAGTCCAAGCTCGGAAGCTCCTTCTCTGCCACTCGCCAGCACTCGTAGAGCTGCTGCTCCATCTCATTCACCTTCGGCTGAAATTTGGCGCTTTTCATTTTGGTCCAGTCAGCCTGGACGATCAGCTTCGCATAGCCGTCAACCATCTTGTGCCCAGGAGCTGCATAGTTGGTCGCTAGCATGGCCAGCCGAACCATTGGCATTGCCGCATTGCCAGCGAAAGTGCCTCTGCCTGCGGCCATGGCCCAAAAATCTTCTCCCAGATTACAGTTGCCTCCATGCTCTCGGCTAAACGGCGAAAGGAACTGGGTGAGAAACTTTCCGCCGTCGCTGAACTTTTCGAGCCATCGGCACAAAAACGGAGAGTATTGCATCAATGTCGTCCCAACAGGCACCACCTCGGAGGCGACGGCCTCAACATCGATCTCCTTGCCCTCAGCGATCTGCTTCTGCATGATCTCCTGCATATGAAGCATGCTCTCTACTTCCATCGTCGCCGTGAAAGCTGAGTTGGAGCTGTTCATTGCCTTTTCGGCCAATGAAGGCAGCTGCGGAAAGGCGGACTCAGCCCGAGAGCTAATCACCAGCCAAGTCCACCCTTCGGAGAGCATCTCATTCAGATGGCTATCTCTGCCCAGGGCCTCCCTGTTCAGTCGGCCTGTCTGGTCGGCGAGAGACAGCACGGGTGTCTGGCAGCTGCAGAGGACGGCCTTCACAAACTGAGTTGTGTGCCCGCAACTCACGGACAAGTATCTTTCTGCACCCTGCAGCGGCGCCAAGAGCCCGGAGGCTTGCTCCACCAACTTACGGTTGAACTCCAGCTGTTCAGCCAGTCGGCTCGGCTCGTGGCTGATCTCGAAACCTCATGCAGCAAATGGGCAGATACACCGCTTTGTCATACTTTCAAACAACAAACTCAGAGCAGCCAAGCAACAGACAGCTGAATGGAGGAATTTCATGTCGAAGCCGCTTTTGGCCAGGGCTTCGCCTTTCAGGTGGCACCCATGTCCACTGACACCGAGACCGCCCCTGTTGTGGTTGTGGACCAGCATGCTGCTCGCTTGCAACTTCGCCCGCCATGCCAGTCCACCCTCGACCAACTTGTCAGCTACTCGCTGCCACCGGCTGAGTAGCGGGACGGATGTGTCATCGAGCACAGCCTGCACGGCTTTTTGCAGCTCGGGAGTGACGTCCATGATGCTTCCGGAAGTGAAGCTTTGCACGGTTGCTAAAGGCGGCAGGAGTTTTTTGTGCTTGCGAAAAGGTTCTGCATGGTCCAGGAGTACTGGAGCAGTCCTGCTGGAAGTGTACTATATAGAAACATGATATAGTGCATGGCGAATGTCCTTACCTGCTGTTTTTCTCTCTGGCCCCGAACTTAAGGGCCGTACTGCCATCCTGCAAGCCGTCGGCTCTGCAAAACTTCGAGAATGCACACATGCCCAATCGCAGATACCAGCTGTGCCAGAATGTGCTGCTGCACTTGCGATCACCATTCTCCATGCAACAGCAGCAACAAATATGCATGGTACATGGACAGCCTTCAGGCTCGCACCTACACTAAACAGCCAGACGGCTTGACTACAGATCATGCATATCATGACAGCCAGATGGCTGCTCCTGAAATTGAGCCACCGGGATGTCGCAATTGGCAACATGTCCGAATGCTTTGCCATGTCCTCGGAGTTACATCTCCATTTCTGTCAACTTCCTGCATCCAACAACTCAAATCCTCGATCTGGAGCCTTGGAATTTCCTTGAGACAAGTTGCAAGCTGCAGGGTTGTTAGATGCAACTGAAGGGCGTTTGGAATTCAAAAACAGCCGCATGGCTTTCACAAAACCAGAAATCGCCATGTTCGCCTACTGTAGAATCTAGTGAGCATGGCATGAAAACGTGTGTCCGAAACAACGCACGGGTAGTTAGCTAAATACTTAAATCCGGATATGCTAACTAGTTAGTAGCCCTTCTAGGACTTAGCTAAACAGTTGTTAAGTTTGCCTAAACCATTACTTAATCATTTGGCTAAATGCAGGTAAGCAGTTAGTTTGTTGGGTAAATCTTAGTAGCACTTCAGTGGGTTAGATAAACAAATACACAACTTTCATAAGTAACATAAGTATTAAAGTTGTTTAGCAATAGTTAAAACGACTTATATTCATTTATACATACTTAATAACAGGATATATCCTCTTGCTAAACAGATACAGCTCTTTATTAAATACATATATGTTTCGTAAAGAACATAACCGCGAGCGATCTTTAAAGTACACCCAAAACCCCCAAACCCTAAACCCTGAACCCTAAACCCCCAAACCCCTAAACTTTTATGGTTTAGCTCTACCCTAAACCCCAAGCCTTTTAGGGCGAGGGCTTCCCTAGTTTGGGCTTGACTCACTGGTGAGATCCTTCCCGAGGCTTCAGGCCCATCTGCATGGTGGAAACCCGGAACCTCAGGGTTTAGGGGTTTAGGGGTTCAGGGTTTAGGGATTAGGGTTTAGGGATTAGGGTTTAGGGTTCAGGGTTTAGGGGTTTAGGGGTTTAGGGTTCAGGGTTTAGGGTTTGGGGGTTTTGGGTGTAGGGATTGGGGTTTGGGGTTTGGGGTTCAGGGTTTAGGAGTTTAGGGATTAGGGCTCCTCCCCCACCGAAATCTGATACTGGTGTGTCGAATTATTGGTGGCGATAATAATCGATCTCTGCTCTAGAGTCTGCACACCCTAACTTTAAGCCCCAAACCAATTGTAAACCCTAAGCCCGAAACCCTAAACCCTAAGACCAGGGCCATTGCACCTTAAAACATCCTAAGACCCCAAACTCTAGAAACCCACTGACAGAGGTCTTGCGACAGGCTGCCTCAGACAAAGATGCCCGCCTGCCTGCTCTGACCAGGTGCTGGCAATGCTTAAGGGCTCAGGGTTCAAGGTTTCAAGGGTTTCAGGTTTTGGCTTTAGGGTTTAGAGTTCAGGACGTTGTCTCAGGGTGCAGCCGGCTCGCATTTTTAAGTGCAAACCTACTGATGCCTACACGGTGGCGGTGACTCCAATATGCTTGGGGCCAAATGGGTTTGCTCTACGAGGTCTTGCTAAACTCCTTGCTAAAAGCAGTTGCAACACTGCAGGGCGTGTATTACAGGCATATGTTGAGCTTTCGACCATGCGCACGCATACTGGTATGTGTGCAGAAACCGGATGCCTACACAGGTTGACATGCACGTGACAACGTAGACAAATATTGGGAACCATGCATGTGCAGCTACAAGAAGCGACAGCGTATAAGTATATTTCGATTCGACGACCTATCTGCACGTACTGAGGTTGAGTCGTTACCATACATTTGCGTCTGCCGTTCACTGCGATTGTTCTCTACGCTTCATATCAGGTTGAGGCTTTCTTGTCTACCAGAACTTTGAGAATCTACATGTCCTGCGGTTTTCTCCCGTGGCCGAAGATTGGATAATATGCAATGATAACCCTTACAGTCACTATATGATAATGCTATACCGTATATCGCGAGAAAAGCCTATTCTAACCACTTCACTAACTGAAGATGACTTGGTGGTACAGTCGGAAGCCTCTGACCTTTTTGCGATATGGGTAACTCTCTAAACTAGGGTCCCCTTTCAAGTCCCCCAAAATAGTACGGCACCCTTGTCAACAGAACCCTAAACAGGGTCCTTTTTAGAGAACTATATCCTCAACCAGGGTTGAGGCTTGGGAGTTTATGCTCTGGGGAAGCCATTTAGGGTATTAGGGGGTTCAGGGTTGGAGGTTGAGGGCTGCAAGATTAGGCTTTCAAAACGTTTGTCTAAACACGCCTTCGGTGCAACTGTCGACCGCACGCCAGGTTGAGCGTGATCTTCGAGAATCCGGTCGTGTCTGTGCCCTTGGCCCCTCGCCGCAAGTGTTGGCTCCATAGGGGAGTTTCCGAAAATAGGGGACCTAATCTAGTACCCTAAATAGTAGGATCCTTATTGTAAGGACCCCAAAATCAGGTACCCCTAATTTTCGGAAACTCCCATAGAGTCAGACCCCTTTCATGGAGCCCTTCTGGTTTTTTGCGTAGGTACTTAGGGTATTTTAGAGGATAATTGGGGGGTCGAGTCTTCAATAGTAGGTATTTAGGGCATTTTAGAGGATAGTTGCGGGGTCTAGGCAGTACCCGAGAGCTGTTTTCGTTTGTGCTGTTGGGCTTGGCGAACTAATCCGGGACGGTTCAGGGGTGATGTCGACCTCGATGTGAGGTCAGTGTGCTCCTATTCGTCCCTAAGGCGTCCAACCAGATTGCTTGCATCTGTATCAAAGCTTCAAAGCTAAGGGACTTGCATTGCAAGATCAGCTGTGGAATGTGGCAGTTCGTCGTGCATTAAGGCTCGAGGCTTTTTCACTTTTCCGCTTCGTGACAGCACGCTTCTGCTAGCGAGGCTTTTGGTCCGCACACCCCTCAACTCACTCACTCACGCGCGCCAGAGGGAAATCCTGTGCTAAGAACATGCAGAGGGGTCAAAAACTGTCTTGCTATAAGTTAAGACAGTAACCCAAAACAGGAGCCTGTACAACCAAGGTTCAAGGGACACTGTACAAAGAGAGACACAGAGCGGCAGACGCGGCCGGCTCACGCCGAGGCCGGGTACGCCCAGAAAGCTCGCAGAGAACGCGAGGGCGGGGCGGACCATGAGGCACCGACGACGGCAGACCGCACGGAGGAGGCCAAGGAGGCCGAGCTAGCAGCCAAGAAGAAAGGGCCAGCAGGGGACCGGAAGTCCAAGAAGACGGCGGCAGGGAGGAGCTGCCGAAGCAGAGAAAGCCCCTGCCGACTAGGGCGCCCAGAAAGCCAAAGGGCACCATGCCGGTGGACAGCTTTGCAAACCATACGGAACGAAACCGTGGCCGCTGCCAAGCCAAGCAGAGACCACCGATTCGCCGTGGCATCAACAAGAGACACGGGGGCCTCCAAGCCGCCAGAGGAAGCAGAACGGAGGACCCCAAAATGACGAATGGCCCGATGCTCCAAAGGTGCAAGGGATTCGAGAGTGGACCAGAGAGGCCAGAGGCGGTGCCATGAGGATGGCAAGTGAAAGATCCCACCGCGGACGAGGAGCCCGGGCCACCATGGCGAGGGGAGCGCCCAGTCGACACAGGACGCGGTGCCGTCGACAAGCGAGAACCAAGCGGGCGGACTGGGCTCCGGCGGGCACCCAGAAGGTTCCCCAGGACAAACGGCTGTGACAGACAGCACAGGATTCGCAACAAGGGACACCGGGGCAACACTAGAAGCAACGGCCGGGGTCTCAGGGGCGGACGCCCGCTGCAAGTTACCAGGGACCAAGTCCGACAGAGCTGGGGAGTGTTGGACGGCATCCCACTCTGCCTGGAGGTCCGCTTCGGCAACCGGGACGGTAAGCTCCGCAGCCCTCCTCTGGGCAGGTGTGGCATTGCACGGGCCACAGAGGCGCAGGGGTGGAACTCCTCTATGGGCTGCACGGCCCTTGCGCTTAGTGCCAGACCCATACTGATACACAGGGCCGACGGTAACACGTAGCCCATGCAAACAAGGGCGCTGTGTTTGCAGGTGGTATTTCAGTCGGTCAGAGGAGTGGAAGTCCCGCATACACCAGAGACAGACAGAACCCGCCATATACGCAGTAACGTCAGAAAGGACACCATGCCTCCGATGAAGGTGAGCCCGGACGGCATGGAGGCTCGGGAAGATGTCCTGGCAGACCGGGCAGCGATAGGACTGAGGAACACCAAGCACTTGCGTGGTTTTCCGAGCGGAGAGGTCGTCCCAAAGCTGAGCACAGGCGACATAACGGTGACCGAACTTACTCAAAGCTTTGCAAGCCCGGAGGAGGGCACGCCCGTATCGCTGCACAAAGAGAACAGTGACAGACGGCGGCTGAGCAGGGTCCCAGGTGTCAAGGGACACACCAACACGCATGCATGCTGATACCAAAGCCTGGCACCACGGAAGAGCCCGATTCCAGGCAGCATCAACAATGTCACGGACTGCAGCCGGTGCTTTGCAGAACAGTTGAACACACAACCGGCACTGGCTGATCACGGTCGCAAGATCCGGCGGAGGGACATCAGCGAAGAGCCGCAGGAGCGGAGTGGTGAGTTTATGCCCCATCTGCCAGGAAGACAGGAGAATGCGGGCCGTACGCTCAAAGAGGCCGGCAAGGGGAGCGGTGGCTCTGCCTGATTCCGCAAGGGACATGGCAAGGGAGGAGTACGCCGATGGAAGTACCCTGCCCGCAACCCAGGCACGTTTAAGCTCCCACGGGAGGCAATTGCTGCAGAGAAGTGTGCGGGCCAGCGAGGCTGCAGCCGACCCCCGCTGCGCCGAAAGTTCGCAGTCTCTGCGGCCCGTATCACATGGCAATTGCGCAACTCCCAAGTATTTGTACTCCGGGCACAGGCGGATGCAATCCGAGTCAGACACCTGCAGAAGCGCCTCCCCACCAAGGAGGGCACCCCGGACAGCTCGGGCCCCTTCACCACGAATATCGACCAGAGCCTCAGTTTTTCCCGCTCCAAGGTTGACACGGAAACGGAGGAGCCGAAGGGTTTCGAGGATGACGCAAACAAGCCTGGGGAGCTGAGCCTGCAGATCAGCAGGGCAGTCGAAATCCGCCATGACAGCAAGGTCATCAGCCCATCCAATGGGTTTAACGCCGGGGGACAAGCCAACCTCATCTCCGGCACTAGTATGTGTGATGCCGAGCTGCCCGGCGGCGCGCTGTATGTGTTGCAATCCAATGGCAAAAAGGGCCCCGAACAAAATATCAGCAAGACCATCGCCAGGACGTGAGCCGCGGGAGGCCAGGAAGACGTTGGAGGAGCCCGACAGGGACCAGTGAGACAGCGCGACACAGTCTCGGAGCAAGGCGGCAACGTCATCGGCAACCCCAAAGGCTGCCAAGGCCCCTTGATGCTGGAGACGCAAGACGAGGCCAGCGAGGTGATGGTGCTCTGGCACAGTGTCGTCAGCGGTGAAGCCATCAAAGAGCAGGTCTCTGCTGGCCTCGTAGTATGCAGACGCCTACACCCCTCAACCCTAAATCCTAATGATGTTGATCTAACACCACACTTCCTTGCGAAACTGTAAACTCTCTAAACCCTGTATATACATGCTCAAAATCCCTGAACAACCCCGAAACCCATACGCCCCTAATAAACGGATGAGTGCTGAGGAGCTCGGTGGCCGAAAATCAATGCCAGCCGTGGAGTTGCGAGCGAGGCCAACGGTTTGGGTCAGGGTTTAAAGGGGGGTTTAGGGTTTAGGGTTTTAGGGTTTAGGGGTTTAGGGTTTAGGGTTTAGCGCTGGGATGTTCTAGGATTGAGGGTTTTTAGGGTTGAGGATTTGGGGTTTATAGCCTTAAGGGTCCAAGTACCTAATTGTCAGATACTCTCCAAAATAGTAACCCTACATAACGACTATCCGAAACCCGAGTACCTACTGGATCCTTTGGACCCTTAGGGTAGGGTTTAGGATGAAGGGTTCCCGGTTTGAGGGCGAACACAGTCACGAAGCCACGGAAACGAGGCAAGAGGCCAGCCGACTCTGAACTCGAAAGCCTACTTAAAGGATCATGGGACTTAGTAACTAGGGTTCCTTAAAGGGCTCCTTAAAGGGATCTATAAGGGTTCCTTACAGGGGTTTATAGGGTTTAGGATTTAGGGTCTACTTAAAGGATCAAGGGAGTTAGTAATTACCTGTATGTAGAATATTTGCCTTTTGTAGGTTTTGGGCCGTTATGTTCGCTAGATATGGGGGTCTAGGTAGGGTTATGAATAAGCTAACTAGACTTATATGTACTTATAACCACAATTAGGGTACTTACAACCATACTTACTAAGTCCCCCGATCCTCCAAGTAGGCTTGGTCACTTTTGGGGCTACGCTCCTTCGTTTTTTGCGGTCGCTTCCGAAGAGTTTTTAAGAGGCAAGAAGAGCATGCTGGGGGGCAGGTGGCTTAGGTTTAGGGTTTAGATAGGGTTTAGGGTTGACGAGTTGAGAGATTTAGGGTTTGGGAGTTCCTAAAGGATGAGTGGGACGCATGGCCTTCCTTACCAAGTCTCATATTCCTGCAAGTCGGTTCTGGAGGATTTCAAAAATGCAAGGATCAAGTCAGAGCAATGTCTATGAGTACACGCAGGCTTCAGGGTTCAGGGTTTGTGGCAACGTAGCTCCTGGGCTCCGTAGCAACTATTGAAACTCGCAGATTACGTAGTACCCCTAAACGCTGAAAGCCCAGATGTAGGGGTCGAGTAGTTTTGTCATATGGGAGTGTGCGAAAATAGGGGTACCTTATTTGGGGGTCCTTACAGTAAGGATCCCACTATTTAGGGTACTAATATGAGGATCCCCTATTTCCGGAAACTCCCATACTATCCGTTTATACATAGCTCCTGCATCAACATCAGGTAAAAGCCAGAAAGTTGGAATATGATTATCCTATATAACCCTTCTATGGTAAATTATAGGGTATCCTACCCTGAAACCATATTCCAACTTTCTGGAGTTCGCTGTAGTGCCCCTTTATTTTTCGGGCCGAGAGGCGCCGTTGAAATTCTCCTGGAGCTCTGAACCCAGGAAGCCCTGACCTGCTAATCCTCACAAAACCCTATGCAATCTGGTAGAGCTTTCAAAAGCCCCTGAATAGACCTTGCATATAAACCCAGCAACCTAGTAACACCACTACAATACTCGATCAAATAAAGCCCATGACACCCCTGAGCAAGCCTACGATAGAACAATAGCCAAACTACACCTCTAGACCCTAACTCCTAAGCCCCTGTACCCTGAACACCGAAAGTCGCGGACACTGTGCTCACACCTGCTGAAGTTGCAGAGCTGACTAAGAGTGCAATCGTTTGTGGCACTAGAAGAAAAAGGCTCCTTGGCTGGCTTACTTGGAGGATCAGGGGACTTAGTAAGGGTTCTTAAAGGGCTCCTTAAAGGGATCTATAGGGTTTAGGGTCTAGGGTCTACTTGGAGGATCAGGGGACTTAGTAAGTAAGGTTATAAGTCCCCTAATTGGGGTTATAAGTATAGTTACCTTCTTTATAACCTTAGTTACTAAGTCCCATGATCCTTTAAGTAAGCACATTCGGGCTGTCTGCTCAATCCATCAGGAGCTCGTTGGAAAGCTTGAATTGTGGCCCCGGTTTTTGTACCCAGGTACTTTAAGGGTGAAGAAGCTGTGCTCGCTTGGGCTGGCAGCGGGGATTTCACTCATTTATCAAGTCTAGGCCTTGATGGCACCAAGCACCCTGGTTGCCTTTTTGGTGTCAATGGAATGTTTTGGGAGCGTGGCTCTTGCAAAAATCAGGTTTCAGGAGGAGCCGCCGAATACCTCGCACACCTGTTGGACTCGCCTGACGAACTTGATTCGTACCCTAAATTGTTCTCCTCTCAATGGTGCGTACAAAGGCCCACTCATTGGCTTCTCCAATGTGGATGCTTGACAAGGATCTTGTGAATTGCTTTTATAAAAACTGCTTGTGAATTGTTTTTTATAAAAACCAAAAACGAATTGTTTTTATAAAAACAAAAAAGCGAATTGTCTTTATTAAAACAATTCACAGGATCAGGGCGAAGTTTGGAGGGACGACAAGTTTTAAGGGGCCCCCGCCCTGTAATAGTGGTATAGTAGGAATATAATAGAGCCCTAATATAATCCTTGTAGTCACTATTACAGGGTGGGGGCAGCTTCTAAACGATATGCTTCAAGCCAGTCGAGTGGTGTCTTCTGGCAACCTTCTATCCGCTGCCGCTGCTAGGCCAGCTTGACAAGTTCTTTAGTTGCTCTAGCATTACAACAGGTATAATTATTCTAATAGACCACCCCAAAAAACAAATAAACAACCCTAAGCCCTACGCCTGTATGCATACTATACTTTCAAGTAATGTTCGACCAAGTATAGTAATGATTTCTGTACTACTACGATATACCCCAAAACCATAAGTCTACTACAATAGACCTCAGAACTAAAAGCAAAATACCCATAAAACTGACCCAAACCGCTTTTTCAACCCTAAACCGTAAACCGAATTACAAGCAAAACCCATAACACCGACCCAAATCCCAGTTTTGTGAGGCGCCTCGCCGTCAGCAACGGACCTGCTCGAAGGGCCGGCAGGGAGGTCCGGCCGGGGTCGAGAGATTGGGCTCGGGGGTCCTAGGGTTCCTTTAAAGGGCTCCTTTAAGGGATCTATAGAGTTTATAGGGGTGTAGGAGTTTAGGGTGTTTATAGGGGTGTAGGAGTTTAGGGTTTAGGGTTGAGGGTTTCGATCTACTGTAGGGCTCGCTAGAATCTGAAAAAACAAAAGGTTCCTTTAAAGGTCTATAATAGGGTTCCCTTTAAGAGTAGGGTTTCTTGAAGGGTTTGGGGTTTGGGGTTTAGGGTTTAGGGTGCGGGAATATCTCACTCTTTTAGGGGAACATGTCTAATGTAGGCTCCTTGAAGGGGTTTCCGCGAAGAGAGACCCTGGGCGTCACAGTAAAGGAACCCTTATAGTAACCCTTATAGTTTCCCTTAAAGGAACCCTTATAGTAACTCGGTTCTGGCCAGAAAAAGGAGACGAAATACACAAACACAGAGTTCAAGGAGCAAGGAAATCCCAAGAAGGTATACTTAAAGGGTTCCTTTAAGGGCTTTGGGGTTTGAGTTTTAGGGTGTACGGAGATGGGAGTTTTTCTAGAAGTAGAGCTTCCTCAAGCGTTCCTGTAAGAAACCACCCGAATGTTTATTCCTCTCTGGGTTTGGGGCTTAGGGTTCAGGGTCAAGGGAGATTGGGAATGTGTGAAACACAGGTTCCTTAAAGGGTGGTGGTGTCTGGCGAGAGGCGAGAGTGTCGAGCTTCTGATGTACACGTTTCTTGGCGTAGTGTCTCGGGTACTCCTCCAACACGTGCACTAGCCAGCAAGAAAAGGCACGAAAGAGCCATCACAACCCCAGTGGCAGTAGGAGCAGTACCAGTGGAGGTTTATTTGGGTCAAATACCGTGTCATGTTACGAGCGCATATTTCCTACATGTTGACCTTTATAGCACTAATCACTAATCATACTCAGAGCATTTCATTGTGTTACACTGTATGTTGCTAAACTGTAGCGAGACGTATCATATCCGCACAAGCCACCAAAGACTAGCGAAGCCACAAGAAAGCGCAAGGCCCTGATCGATGCCTTGGCGGTGAGCGCGCAGCAGGTGGGGTGGATTGTACTAGATTTAAGGGGCTATTCATGTATATCGGGTGAAGGGTTTTGGGTTTAGGTGTTAGGGATTTAGGATTTTTGTTTTTTTTGGGGTTGAGGGTTTAGGGGTGCAGGGTTCAGGGGTGTACAGAGGTTATAGCATGGCATCACCATGCCAGGGTTGGTGTTTCGATTTCGTGGTTCGAGGGTTTGACGTAAATCGGATGTAAGATGAGCTGATTAATTGCACGTTACACACTAAAGCCTTGAAGCCCCAAACCCGATGCAAGCCCTTTTCGTAAGAGTTTAGGTTGGGTTTCCTGGATTCCTGATTCTTTAGATAAACATCCCACTCGAGATGCGCTGAACCCGAAAGCATGACCGCGACATGGGGCTTATTGCATCCCGGCGGGTAAGCGTCAATTCTTGACGTCGCCGGCCGGGCTGTTGCAGCGAAACAACAAGGGTACAAATGGAATGAAGCGCTGAGCATGCTCATGGATTGTGCCGTTGGAGTGGATGAAGAGGAGGAGACACAAGGGATCCCTGTGTCGAAGTTTCTCTGCATTTTTGTCACCACAAGGCGTGCCCTCTTGCCCAAGGCTCAAAAAGAATGTCAAGTCCTACAAGACAAAGCACAACTCTCAATGCACTTGACCACAAGGGCCCTTGAGGAAAGGGTTGAGGGGAACAGGTCAGCTGCAGAATTTCGAAGGCATCAAGACCCAAAAACCAAACAGCCAGTACCCAAAACCCCAAACCCTAAGCCATGGCTCATCATACACAACGACGAGAAGAATAATGGCAAGAGTGCGGCTAGCAAACCCAGACAGCTCACATCCCCTTTTGATTGGGGAGTATACCTTAAAGCCTTAATCCCATGACATTCAGCCCCCCCCCCCCACCCAAAGTTTCAAGTATATTCCTTAATTATCGAATCTACCTTAAACCAGAACATTCAGCGCTCTATACTGTTAAGTATATTCCTTCATTAAGGGTATCGGGTGTTCTGAGATCTTGAGGCCAACCTTGAGGATGCAATAGAGAAGCCCTTACTAAAACCTTAAGGACGGAAACCCTTAACAGGAACCCTTAACAAACCCTTAGAAGGAACCCTTCAAAGGAATTTAGAAATTTTCCCCACCTCCCCAAACCCTAAAATCCCGAACCCTAAACCCTGAACCCCAAACCCTGAAAAGGCTTCTTTAAGGGGTATTGGCAGCTCTGCAGTCTGACAGGTCGAGCTTTGGGAGATCCCGGACGAGACGCGGCTTCTTGCGCCACAGGCAAGATTATGATTAGGGTTTTTGGGTTTAGGCTTTCAGAGTTGAGGCTTTACGGTGCGTTTGGGTTTAGGGTTTAAGTTTCAAGGCAGAGGGCTCCGGAATCAAGGTTGCAAGTTCGGTGCGATGTTGTAACTTCTGCGCAACATACCGCGAAGTATGGGCATCCCGGACTCGGGCGCCAGGTGTGTAGCATCGCAGGCTTTGAGTATATACAAACCAAGCGTGGTAGTTGCAGCTACTATAGGGGCCCAAATAATTACAATTTCTATGTTGGGGTGTCTTTATTATGGTTCCAGTATAACTCACCCCAAAACCCTACTCCAATCATTAAGCTGTATTGGGGCCTTAGCAATCACCAATAGTCTTCCATAGGAGCGCCTCATCATAACTCCCCCAAAACCCCAAGCCCTAAACACTAAACTATACAAAAAATACACACCGGAACCCGAAACTAAACTCCAAACTGAAAACTCCTCAACCCTAATCCCCTAAACTCCTCAACCCCTAAACCCCCTCAACCCCCTAAACCCCTAAACCTAAAACCCCCCAAACTCTGATGGTTGAGATCCGTAATTGTACAACTCCAAGCACCAGTCCTCTGGGCCGAATTCGCCAAGGTTTCGGTTTAGGGGTTTAGGGGGGTTCGGGGTTTGGGGGGTTTGGGGGGTTTAGGGGTTTAGGGGGTTTAGAGGGTTTAGGGGGTTTAGAGGGTTTCGGGGTTTAGGCGGTTTGGGGGGTTTTAGGGGGTTTAGGGGTTTAGGGTTAGGGGTTTAGGTGTTTAGGGGTTTATGCAAGACGTCTGCGGACCATCCAAGCGAGAAGCACGCCAAGATGCTTAACAGGGCGACATACAAGATTAATTACAAATTCAAGCATTGCGCCGTTTGCGCGCTGCTCTCGTCAACTTGGTATAAGAGTTCCAGACCATAACAGGACTACGCAGGGGAACAGGGCAATGCAGTGCCTTTTAGGGTTTAGGTGTTTAGGGGGTTTAGGGGGTTAGGGCCTAGGGGGTTTAGGGGATTAGGGTTTAGGGGTTTAGGGTTTTAGGGGTTTAGGGGTTTAAGGGTTTAGGGGTTTCGGGTTTGAAATTTAGGGGTTTTGGGTGTAGGGGTCTGCAGGACATGACCATCCACCTCGATCTCAACCTCCAGGCCAACTGGGGCATAAATTAGACCGGGGGAGGGGGTTCGGGGTAGGGTTGATGATATAAATCCTGCATTACCCATAATAAGGAGCATACCATAGTTCCCATAGTTTAGGGTCCTTACGGTGATGCAGGAATTTTATCATCAACAATTTGTTCTATTGTAGATTGTTTACAAGACGGAGCCGCACGGGATTGTTTACAAGACGGAACCGTACGGGATGGTACCAATAGCTCTTGAAACTTCTCTGTTGGCCAACCCTTCTGTGGCCCTGTAAGCCTTGAACCTCTACAGACTTGACGCCCTGAAGCCCCAAAGCCCAGGACCCTGAACACGAAACCCTGGGCTATATTTGTACTATAATATACCCGGGCCTGGTCCAAACATCATAAGGCTTATTATGGCTGCTATGTTGGCTAGGTTCCTGAGTAGTACCCTTTTGCCCTTTTTTGGTTTTGGGGTACCCTTTATCAATTGTGTTTTGGGAAAAGGGTACCCTTATCATAAAGGGGTTACTCAGGAACCTAGTATTCAAAACGCTAAACCCTGATAGATCCCTTGAAAGGAACCCTTGTAATCCCCCTTTAACGGGGCTACTGTGGTGTTCAAGGAGTTCGGGGCCTCAGACAACGAAGTGTCGGGGTCAGGATGCCACCAGGCAGGATTTCAGATTTCTGTTGCGGGGATTCCGGTTTGAGGGGTTCTACGGTTGATGATATGAATCCTGCATTACCTTAAGGACCCTACACTATGGGAATTATGGTATATTCCTTATTATGGGTAATGCAAGATTTATATCATCAACCGTAG